CCTGACTGGTATAAAGGAAATAATTTCAAGAAAAAGTTTTTTTCTCTGGCCAGACCAGACGTATACAAATTACTAGTAAATGTGATCAAAAAGTTCGTTGATTAATTGTATCGCTATTCATATTTCAATAACAATTTCAGTTGCAACATCAAGGGTCCATGTACTTCCTATTCATTTACTTATTTTTTGTATTTTGTTTCAGTAGTAAATAAATATTATTATTATTATTTAATGAAATCATACAACTAAGAACCTTGCACATAGTTTGCTACCTCTATGGCTCACTTATGTAGGTAAACATATAAATTATTACAAAGTAGTCCGCAAAATCGACCATATTTCATCTTCTTGTTTTCTTCTTCCAACTTTAATGTATGTGAACTCCCATAAAAATTTAGAACATTAACTCAGCGGTGATAAATCACCATACGCCCTGTTCCAAGCTACACGGAAAACTTACTTATTTTTGTCAGCTTTGGGAGAAACAAAGCCGGCATTAAGAGAACTAGGAATATTATTTATCTACAGCTAAATGCTGTTCTTAGGAGCAACTTTTTCGATTACTCCAATGTCGTTATAAATATCCCGAATGGAACCGGGGGGAAAGATAACCCTAAAAAGTTTCCGTGCCTGCCTCAGAGGAAGCGGATTTTAGAGTCCTTCCGGGTAGAAAAACTTTTATAATTGTCGATGTTCGATGAAGAATGGAAATTTGGCTGTCGAGGACGGAACGGTAACTCCATTGATAAAATTAGGGAATCTGTGTCAGTATATATTACAAAAACAAATGAATATTTTAAACTTTCAAGTGAAAAATGTCTAAGTGTGTCCAGCTATGTCTCGCAGTAGTATTTCGTTTGTTATATTAATCAGTTGCAGTCTAAATGATATCTAAGATGTGCATAACGTTGAATTACTTTTTGACCACCAAAGTTTAAAGCAGTAGAAGTAAAACGAACCCTGAAAAAGGAAATACATGTTTTCTAAACGCAACTTTATAACGGGAGACTGTGTTTCTTCAGATCCCTAACCCAATTAATTACATACAAAGTGCCTGTTCGGTTAAAAAACGTATCAAGGAGGGAACCGTAGCACTATTGATAAAATTAGGGAATCTGTGTCAGTATGTATTACCAGAAAATAATATTTGAAGGTGTTCTGTGAAAAAGTTCTGTTGGGCTAAAAAACATCCGCGAATGTTTCTCTGTATACTCATAAGGCCGCGTTGCGATTTGAATACCGCACCTGTTATAACAAAATAAGAGTACTTTCAGAACTGATAGCAGAGATGTAGAGAGCATGTTAGATATTTTCATTATTCACAATATCCTAGAAACAAATTCAAAATATGTATTGTATTTTTGTAGATTCATAAACGTACGAAAGAAAACCATTCCCTGTCCTAACAAACTGTCAGAGGTGTATAGCTGTATTATTTCGCATGATACAGTTGGACATGTTTAGTGAACTGATGGGACATCTTAATCTTCACACAAAATTGTTATAAGCGATCAGTACTAACGAATATTGATCGTAAGGCAAAATTAAATCTCTCGCCACCAATACTACCGCTGAAAAAAAACGCACCGATTCTAAAATATCAAACGTCAAAATGAAGGACTTCGGAAGACCTTTCAAACAAGCTATTACTCGATACCCCTTGTCATTTAAAATTTATAAGGTAATAACCCTGGGGAGCCGAGGGTGAAAGGGGGTGAAGTAGCTTTTGGTTAAAAAGTTGTCCTCCTTGACAAATGTTTTGACGTGTCTCGGCATTTTTTATTTTAATCAGTGGTTTTCGATAAATCCGTGAAGATATTCGGTTTACAATAGAGCATTTACGTGTAAATCGTGTTGGTTGCATATTCGACAGCAAGCAGAGCAGATGCGCTATTGTTCGACTTTAATAGATCGTGTAAACTGAGGAGAAGTTGGGCAGCATCGTACACGAACCCGGCAGCCCGCACAGAGTTCGTCTGCACGCTGCACTAATTGCCTAATTGGCCAATCAGAAATGCCGACGTCGTCGGTTATATTGTTGGCGATATATTGCCACTAATTGCCGACAGCGCCGTTTTTGAAGTTTACACAGCTACGAGCATAATAGCGAAATTTGCGCCGGATTGTGGAATCTTTGAAGCATTCACGGAGCTCTGTGCACCAACAATGCTGTACTGAAAAGTCGTACTGAGATCTTTGACCTGATTGAAGATCAGTAACGGTGTTTTTTTGTAGAATAGTCTTTTGATAAAACTGACAATGCGTCATACACTTGAATCTTTAAACTTGCCAAAATGCAAGAGCCAAAGCCAACGACAGGATGAGATCAAAAATCAAACAATTCGTAAAATTTGAGAGAAAGTTATAGTTCTAACATACAGAATAGCAGTTTTATTCTCTCCAACTGATTGCAGTAGGTTTGTCACAACAGGGTGAAATACAAAAACTGCAATTGATGGATCATATTTTGTTCGGGTGTTGGGGATCCGGTCATCAACATGTACATATACATGTAATGTAGAATAAGGGTGGATTTCACCAGGATTGTCAAATCAAGAAGCCGTAATTTTCCACCTGTAGGATAGCAGTCCGTCAAATATAGCGAATGAGATTTAAGATCCATCCAACAAATTTTAGCATCCAATAGCTGTGAAATATTGAAAACAAAATATGGTCAAAGTATGAGATGACAGCTTGTCATTGAAACATCACTAGCTTATTGAATATTAAGAAATTACATCTAATTCAGTTAATATTTAAAAAAGTGTTTGATTTTTTAATAAAATTCATGTTTTTTGTTGTCATGTTTAAATTATTTTCTCCAATTAATGTGCGATTTTCTGAATTAACATCACTTATAAATCTCTCGCATTCAACACCAACTTGATGACAAAGACTCTACCAAAAATTTCATAGATATTGCTCAATTCCAAACATTCATTCATTTACTTGCCGTTCATCCGTACCATTATGGCATCTTAGAATTGATATTCGCACACAACTATTCAAGATTTTTCATAAAGCTGAATATTTTTCGTTGTTCAGGGACTGAACAAATATCCACACTATATTTACAGCGATTGAGAAATACCCAAAAACAGGGTGATGTTCGGTAGTTGTTGTATTTAATAACCTGCTGCATTAAATAAAAGCTTCGGGAATTCTTCTTATTAAATGGTCTCTTGATACGATTTCTTCAGTGTAAACTAACTGTTTAGCCCGCCTCCGACATAGAAATCCAATGGTGTCAAGTCCGGGGATCTAGCGGGCCACGGAACTGGTCCACCTCTGCCTATCCAGCTATTTGGAAATGTATCGTCTAAATATTGTCTTACGTCTAAACAGAAATGAGCTACACATCCGTCGTGTTGGAAAACAATTTACATGTCATCTGGAATTTCTACTCCTACAAGTAATTCGAGAAGATCAAATTGTGCAGGTCATGATGGACTGAGCCTAAGTATATTGGAAATGTTCATACCATATTGTCTCAATGCCATTACGCATATCATTAATTTTTGGAGACTGGCACTCCTCCAGAACTGTTCAAATTAGCAACTGAAATACCTTTGCCAAAGACTGATAATCCGCTGGCTTAGTGATTATAGACGTATCAGTCTATTGCCTATATTGTCTAAGTTATTAGAAAGAATTGTATTTGGGCAGATGTCTATTCATATAAAAAAGTATAACTTGATACCTTCCACACAATCAGGTTTCAATTCTGGACATAGTACTGTAACTGCACTGATTGATGTCAGTGACGACTACTTAAGAGCCATAGACGATGGTAACGTTACAACATGTGTGATGCTAGACCTGTCTAAAGCTTTTGACTGCATAGATCATAGATTTCTTTTGGCAAAACTATTTTTTTTATTTTCTGCGTCATCTTTTGCCTGGTTCTCTAGTTATCTATCTGGTAGATCACAAATGGTGAGACTTAGAGCAAAAATATCTTCGAAATGCAATGTTAAGCAAGGTGTTCCGCAGGGGCCCATTTTATTTAATCTTTTTGTATCAGATTTCAACGAGTCTATTTCTTATTGTAAAGTTCCCTCCTAGGCAGATAACACCCAGATCTACCTTTCATGTAATCCTGATGATTTTTTACAAGCCAATACCAAACTGTCAAGAGACCTACAGGCTGCAAATCAATCTAGCCATGGATTACTTATAAATCCAAGAAAATCCACCGTCATTACCTTTAAATCCAAGCTAAGCAATTTTGACAGTAAAGTTGTCAATTTATCTATCGGGATGAGCCACTCCATCATAAACTGAAGATAAAAAATTTAGGTGTGCTTTTTGACTAATCGTTAAGATTCCATGACCATGTCACAAAAATAGTACAAAGCTCATATAGTGCCTTGAAAAGCATATATAGTTTCAGACACATACATTCTGAATCCGCCAAAGTTAGGTTAACTAATTCGTTGATTCTAAGCAAAGTAGAATATGCTGATTCTATGTTTGGTCCTTGCCTGATACAAAATGAATCATATAGGTTTTTTTCTAACACTCTTATAAATTATTAAATTTTACTGTAAAGGTGCTTGTAAACAATTGGTGCCCTGGTTAGGGAGTAAGAACAGCTGCTAGCTGAATCCTCGCCAGGAAAATAAAAGGCATTTTATTATTATTATTATTATTATCATTTTGCAAAAAGTGTAGATAACTGTCGCCGTTTAATATTGCAGGCAAAAATGAGGACCGATTAGTCTTTGTCCCATGACGGCGGCCGATACATTAACGGAAAATTTTTGCTGGGAAGACACCTGTTTTTTCCAGTGTAGATTTTCCTACTTATCAGTCCATTGATGCAAATTGTGAAAATTTGTAATGCTCTCCTTTGAAAAATTGGATTCGTCCGTCCATAGAATCCTTTCGGGGAACCGTTCATTCTCAATGAGGATCACCAAGTTCTTGTACGCCGATACCATGAAAAGGATATTTTCGTTCACGGTGCATGATACTCCAAACCTTTCATGGCGACAAACCGAGATCCGCAGCAACTTTCCTAGTACTTGTAGTGGGATCATCTTCAAACGCTTGGATGATTAGATCTTCGGTTTCAGGAGGATATCGACCTGGATTAACACCAGGTTCATTATGTGTTACACTTCCAGTCTCGTAAAGACGTCGGTAAGTATTGTAAAACACTCTGACATTAGGCAATCTTCTCCCAGGAAATCGCCCTTTTATTATACGATAGGTGAACGCAAATCGCGCAGTCTATCTCGATCTGTTTGGTTGACGCCACTATACTTTTGTTTAAATGGGATGAGAGATATTCCATCTCTGTATTCAAATCCCAACACATTAAACTGATCACCCTGTTTGTTAATGCACCCAGACACTGGTGGCGCCATTTACATTCAGGGGTGTAGGCGTCATCGTGTCGGTCTTGGCGCCGCAACAAGATACTCTAATATAGTCCTTCCATTATGTCTGTCCTCATGGCAATATTGAGTTTCGCCTTAGTTATACCAACTACTGGTGCATTTTATCTCCTTACGACGCTGTACCTTCTGAGCTTCTACGTCGGCTATAGTAGCAAGCAGACGTACTGATCTTTGTAAAATGAATTCTGTTGGAGGTAGTGTGTCATTTGAAGTGCCAACAAAATACTTAGATGTAGATGTTTACACATTATGATTATACTTAGTTACGACTTTAGGTTGAATAAATAATAGTCTAATAATAAAAAAAACTAAAAAACACGCTTTCATAGCTAACCGAACTAAAAAGTAGAAAATAAATAAACTGCTGTCTTGATTCGGGTCTACAGGCCGTCGTCGGTTGGAATTTCTTCCTAACGTTTCGCTAGCACGAGTGGCAAGCTTCTTCAGAGGTCCTTCCATTTCCGATGCTGGATGTAGACCGACGATGTCGATCGGCACTGCTCGGCGTTTCTGAGGATCGGGTGCCAGATCGGGTTGAGTCTGAGGGTCTCCTCCTTATTGTTGAAGTTATCTGGATGTTTGTGAATCTCGATAGCTTCCCTGACCAGTATATTGTGATAGCCGTTGACTGATGACAGCAACCTGCAGCTCCCAAAGTGTATCCTGTGGTCCCCCCAACTAGCAAAGTAGAGGTATAAGCTTTTGGTAAAAGAACCGTTCAGCCATAAAGCTCTCTATTGTTGTTGCCTGAACACCAAAATGCTGGCTTAATGTTGTGTGGATTGCAAATTTGCTTTCTGCAACATATTTGCTCTAAAATGAGGTGTTTAAAATATTCTTATAGCATAGTTATACAACAACTTTGTAAAACAAACTCGAGCCTTGTTGCTTTGTTGTGCAATTTACTACATTAGCCAACAAATTGCTCCCAACGGAAGCACTTATACAACTGTTACATATGCTAAATATGTTGGTAAACAACTTCACCATAAACTAACTTTCTGCTGTCATATTTTTGTTAAAATGCCATAACCAATCTTTTAAGACAAACAACGCATGCATATCGGTTCAAAAGGTTTTAAAAATTTTTAACTGTTGCATAAACGTTTATACAACTATTTTATACCGCATATTTGCAAGTTAGTCAAAATGGTTGTGTTGTGGTACCCATGCTAACGTTTATAAAGCAAACCCAAGCCTTGTTGCTTTGCTGTGCAATTTACTACAACAAATCGCTCCCAACGGAAGCACTTATACAACTGTTACATATGCTAAATATGTTGGTAAACAACTTCACCATAAACTAGCTTTCTGCTGTCATATTTTTGTTAAAATGTCATAACCAATGTATTACGACAAACAATGCATGCATATCGGCTCAAAAGGTTTTATCAACTGTTCAAACAGAAGATATAGATCTGGTACAAATTCTGGGTAAATCATTCGACTCTGTCGGTATTTCATTTCAGACATTTGTCAAATTGTTGTATAACACCTGCAGGCAACACCAAAATATTCTAATAACCTAAAGACAACATGGACGATGCCATGATTGTACACAACTACCCGCCATATTGGGCAAACATTTATTCCTCTATTTAATATTAACCCTTAACAGGAAACGTGAATTTTTGGAACACAAAAGGAAACATGCCGTCTCTCAGACTGCGAACTTCAAGATGTTCAAAAAATTAGAGTAAGGCGAAAAGCAAGCAATAATTTCGCTGAAACTGATACTGGATGTTTATTTTATGTGTTTAATACGTAAAATGCTCATTTCAAAATGATACAAGAACATAAAAGAAACATTTTATTAACTATGCTAAAACCATACAAAAATAACGCTGTTGTTGCAACATTCAGAAACTAAATTAAAACTATGGAAAAGTCTCAATATTTTTCTATTTTCTAGTTAAGTAATGAACAAGGAAAGTATATTATAGTCAATAAATACAAAAAGAACACAATCAAAATTCACTGCAAGTCTCAAACATTGCCTATATTTATGCAGCTAATACATTTGGGTTTGAAGCATTGAAGACATACAGGCTTCCTACATTGTACGCACAAAAATTTGGTCATCCGATGGGTCGTTCGGACACATAAAAAGCAGGCTTTCCTTTTTTCCAAAACCAAATTTTCAGCTTCTGTTGCTGGATGTTCACATTTGCCAAGGATGCGATTTATCGTAAGTCGCAAATCCCGAGGTAAACGGGGACTCTCTAGTCGCTTTTCCATATGCTCACGGACCAGGTTAGCGGCCAACATCTTAGCAAATACCGATTTTTCCTTCTGCAATTCATTTTTCTTATAGCACTGGTGTAAAATATACGAGTTCACTACCGATATATCCAATAGTCGGTAGAAAATAACCAGTGGCCACCTACGCGAACGGCGACTTGAGGTACTCTTCGAACATTTTTCATCAAGAGAATCAACTCCACCTTTATTAGCATTGTAATAGGCTATTATTTCCGGTTTCTGTGTTTCCGGATCACAATATTTTCTGTGGTGCATAGAAGATATGAGTATTGTGGCTTTATTTTTTTTGCTTACATGAGACACAATAGTGGAATCTTCTCGAAATCCGTACATGGTTGATCCGACTTCTCTTGATTTGTTGGGTAAAAATGCCGGAGGAATTTCTCTTTTATTTTTCTTCATTGTACCCACATAGGTCAGTTTGTTCTTCAATAGGACATCCATTAATTCTATTGACGTAAACCAGTTGTCCGCTGTAATGTTGCGATTAGTTCCAAACAGAGGCTTCGCGAGACGTAGAACTGATTGTGTGGGTTTGGAATACCGCTTGTGTTCCTCAGGAAGTTCGAAACTATCGGAATCTTTACCGCAGTATATATATGCGTTATAGAGGTAGCTATTCCTTGCATCCGTCAATGCCATAATTTTTATGCCATATTTGCAAGGTTTCGCAGGCATATACATTTTAAATCGACATCTTCCTCTGAAACTCACGAGCATTTCATCGACAGTGACAGACTGGCCAACTCCGTACACATCTTGACAGTTCTTTATAAAACTATTAAAAATGAAAGATATTGGTGCTACTGGATCTAGCTTCTTTCTTTCATTCCTGTCATCTGGGTTATCAAACCTTAAGGCTGACAGGAGAATACCAAATCGTTTTATGTTCATGACAGCTCTGAACATATCTCTTCCAGAGCCATCGGTGGCAAAAAGTGTTTCAATGTTCTCGTGGTTGCTGTTGAACACCGATGTATATACTAAGAGACCCAATAGTGCCTTTATTTCGACTAAATCAGTGTCGTTTAGGTTGCTGGTTTGATTTTTGTATCTCTTTCGCATTTCTTTGAGCTTGTGATTGGTCCACTTAACGATATGTACCAACATGTCGTCAGTGAACAAAAGCTGCCAAACCGTCAACGGAGCTGCTTCTTCTCCATATTCATGAGCTTTTCCTCTTAGAGTTGGTACTTTAATGACTATATTGTGCTTCCTTGTACGTGATGATGGTACAACTTCCGAAATATTCCACCTATGACGATTTTTTCCATAGAAATAATTCTGAGCCGGTAAATCCTCTTCATTTCCTTCGGCTCCGTCTTCTGATAACTCACTATCACTTGTATGATCTGATTCCATGTATTCGTCTTCTGAGGCACTGTCTATATCACTAAAGTCACTTCCTTCATCCCCAAACCATTTTAGAACGGTTTCTTCGAATTCCGGATCATCGTATCGTACACGTTTAGAAGGTCCCGCCATACTCGCAAACGCACCTATGCAACACAAATAGCAAACGGGAACGGAAACGTGCCGTCTGACAGACTGCAACAAACTAAAATTGGTCCATATTTTAAGGCACGTTTTGGCTAGACTCGTGTGAATGGGGGTGGGCGATGGTCACTAATAGCTTATGGATTAGATGGGTTTTTACGTCTGTTAGAGGTGCAATAAAAAAAGATACGCTCAGGTATAGAAACGCCGCAGTCTCACAGACGGCACCTTTCCGGTTAAGGGTTAAATAATTGTGTTTCAGTTCGAAATTACAGATATAAAGTGATAAACATTAGTGCAATTGTGTCTAAATATAGGATTTGTGGAAGATTTAACGCAGATAAGTTCAGTTTTCCATCTTAAAAATCTAGACATACTTTTGATCATTGTCAAAATATGAATAAAATACGAAGCCCGTAGAAATTGGGTAACTAATTTTCACGATAATCACAATAAAATTTGCTGCGCAAGTAATTCAATAGCACTATATCAAAGTGTAGAAGTTTATCATATACCTGTGTATGAAATTCACAATGGCCGATATGTAAGTAAACAAGATGACTGTAATGTGTTAGTTATATATTCTTCACTTCGTCTATACAATACATAGGAAATAGTTTGGTTGCAATAAAGTAGAATCACGTAAGAGAATAGTTGTATAGTTGACAGAAACTGAATCTTGCACTGACGCAAATGTCCTATAGCGGCTGCAAGAGGCTTATACTTTTGTTTTATAACTGTTACCTGCAGCCCTTATACAACCTCTTAAATGACTGAAGTGTCCTATTAGGTGTGCCCATTCCGCTTGTATAGCTGTTCTAAGAGGGTTTTGCTAATGTTCTTACAGTATACAATGCTGTTTAAGGAATACTGTATAATCATTCTTGCAACTCTAATAGGAGTGATAATTTTCGTGGTTCCAATGT